GCCCAGCTAATTTTCATATTTTTAGTAGAGACGGGGTTTCACCATGTTGACCGGGATGGTCTCGATCTCTTGACCTCGTGATCCACCCGCCTCGGCCTCCCAAAGTGCTAGGATTACAGGCTTGAGCCACCGCGCCCAGCCTTACAACATTCTTAATTCTAACAAATATTCCCCATTAGGTAGGTATCATTTCCATTTTACAGATGAGAAAACAACTGAGGTTCAGAAATTGAAGAGGAACGGGGTGCAGTGGCTCACGCCTGTAATCCCAGCACTCTAGGAGGCCTAGGCGAATGGATCACCAGAGGTCAGGAGTTTGAGACCAGCCTGGACAACGTGGCAAAACCCTGTATCTACTAAAAATGCAAAACTCAGCCATACATGGTCATATACTCCTGCAAGCCCAGCTACTTGGGAGGCTGAGGTGGAAGAACTGCTTGATTGTGCTACTACGCCCCACCCTGGGCGACAGAGTGAGACCCCGTCTCAAAAAATAAAACAATGAAATAAAATAAAAATACAAAAAATCAGCCAGGTATGGTGGCTGGTGGCACACACCTGTAATCCCAGCTACTCGGGAGGCTGTGACAGAAGAATTGCTTAAACCCAGGAGACAGAGGTTGCAGTAAGCCAAGATCATGCCACTGCACTCCAACCTGGGCGACAGAGCAAAATCATCTCAAAAAATAAAAATTTTTTAAAAATTAAAATTTTAAAAAAGACATTCAAGAGGAAAAAAAGAATAAATGACCTGTGGTTACTAACTTCTCCCTTATTTTGATTTGCTTTATTTACACTTTGTTCCCCCTTCATCCCCCACATATTTCCTGTTATATGAAATTGCCTTGCTTTTGTGGGAATAAGATACCTAAAAGAGGGAGGCAAGACTCACTGGTGAGGGAAAGGGGAAAGGGGGAATGGGGAGCTGAAAGAAGTGGCATGGTTAAGATGAGCAACAAAAACAGAAGTTAACAGCAAACCCAGAAAAGTGAGGGAGAACAAGATTAGGAATGAGTTAACCTAGGGATAAGACAAAAAGGAGAGCTGGGTATTTTTCTAAACCCTGCCTTTAAGAGGCTCCATGGCTCCATGGCCGGGCATGGTGGCTCATGTCTGTAATCCTAACACTTTGGGAGGCCGAGGAGGGTGGATTCACCTGAGTCGGGAGTTCAAGACCAGCCCGGCCAACACAGCAAAACCCAGTCGCTACTAAAAATATAAAAATCAGCTGGGCACGGTGGCGCACGTGTGCAATCCCAGCTACTCAGGAGGCTGAGGCAGGAGAATCACTTGAGCCCAGGAGGCGGAGGCTGCAGTGAGCTGAGATTGTATCACTGCACTCCACCCTGGGCAACAGAGCCAGATTCTATCTCAAGAAAAGCAAAGAGGCTCCAATTCCGGCTAGGTGTGGTGGCTTACTCCTGTAATCCCAGCACTTTGGGAGGCCAGGGCAGGCAGATCACCTGAGGTCAGGAGTTTGAGACCAGCCTAGCCAACATGGAGAAATGCCATTTCTACAAAAATTAGCCTGACATGGTGGCAGGTGCCTATAATGCCAGCTACTCAGGGGGCTGAGGCAGGAGAATCACTTGAACCCAGGAGGCAGAGGCTGCAGTAAGCTGAGATCACGCCACTGCACACCAGCCTGGGTGACAGAGCACGACTCTGTCTCAAAAAAAAGATCAAACACCTCATGTTCTCACTCATAGGCGGGTGTCAAACAATGAGAACACATGGACACAGGGAGGGGAGCACTACACACTG